TCTGGTACTGGGAACCGAACTCACGACCTTGCGCTTGCCAGGCAGGCGCTTTTGCCGCTGAGCTAAATCCCCAGCCCCACATTAAGTTTTATTTAACCTTTTTTCTACTGTATGGGCTGGCGTTCCATTCCCTGTTACCAGTCCAAAGAACAGGGAAAGAAAATCGTTTGGCTACAATCCAAGACTTGGGGTGGGGATAGGGATACATGGTGAGACAGAAACAGACATGCGTGTTCTGGCGCCGACTGCCTCCCAGCGGTGCCCTTTTAAGGGAAAAGAAACATTGACTGTTTTGCATTTAACGTTTATGTGTAGGTAGCATTCAAGTTGCTCCAAAGCCAGTGTACGGTGGAGTCTTCCTGTCATCATTTTCTCTGGAACACCCAGTTCTCCCCAGAAAAGACTCTTGTCCTTAGTTTCTGTCTCCTTCTAGACATGCTTTAGACAGACGCAAGCTAATACAAGCATTAGATTCTTATTTTAAGAAAACTGAGGAGTTTTAAGACTGGCCTCGGGAACCTAGTGGGTGTTTCTTCTCACACTCAAAGCCCACCCAGATGATCCTTCTCTTTCTGTTGTAAGCGCTGCTGCGAAGGTCAGCGCTCACCGGCGGAAGGTCTCCTATAACCAGCGTGCAGAATTAGGTGCGAAACGTGGCCATGCCCAGACTCCCAGAGCACGTGATCTCCCTTTCTCCTAGAGAGTAAAGGGAGATAGCCGGGAAGAACAAGAAGAAAAAGAAACTAGATCTATACCTAGAAACAATTTACCTTTTAAGTATGATCGTCTTTTCAGATCAACTGCTTTTTCTGTTATTTCCTAAAAATATTAAGTAAGCTTCAGTTTGAACCAGTGCTGGGAGTTCAGAGCAGATGCCGTGGTTTTGGCAAATCTCTCAACTGGCCCTAAAAATGGTGCTGGATGGAACTAGAGCTGGCAGAGCGACGGTGTTTCCTTCCTGTGCTGACGCTCTTTGGAACGTGCTCGGAGCCGCGACAGAGGCGAGGAGGAGGAGTCCGCCCGGAGGCGGGGCTGGGCTTGCCTGTGGAAGGGGAGGTGTGCGCTGGTGTTATTTTTGGAGACTGCCACACTGCTGTTAAGTTTCCCAGCTCATTTTCTCTTGCAACACTTTTATTCTCCTACCCTCTGTCCTCTTTCCTGAGATATTAAAAGTTACTAATGAAGCTGGGAATAAGATGGATGCTTCGAGGTAAAGCCTATTGTGGGGGAAAAGTCACCTTCAATCCCATGTATAAAATACAAATATAACTCCTGCTTATTGACTTGACATTCAAAGAAAACTGCATGAGGATTTCAATACTTGGCATAAGGAGGTACTCAAGTGAATTCTGATAAACAAATACTCATCAATCTTAAATGTTCCGCAACCATTGATTACCTTTCTGTGACATTTGGTAAAAATGGTAACATCTGTTTTTTTCCCCTATAAACTTAGAAAATATCAAGATATTCTGTTAAATATGGGTAAAGAGGTTAGTTTACACTCAGGAGAGTACTTTCATTTTCAACTTCATTATGTTAGATGTAGGATCCCGGTAAGTAGAGTTTGACCGAGCAGATCTGGAATAAAATTTGACCATCCCTCCCTCCTTCCCTCCTTCCATCCATCCATCCATCCAACAAATATTGAAGTCCTCTATATATTGAAATTAGGCAGGATTTGGTGGCTCATACCTGTAACCCCAGCACTTGGGAGGCTGTGGCAGGAGGATCTATGAGTTCAAGGCCAAACTGGTCTACATAGTGAGTTCAAGGCCAGCCTGAACTATGTAGCAAAAGCCTGTCTTAAAACCAAAACCAAAACCAACCATATAAATCTCAGTTCCCAAATTTCTATTCCTGTGCAGAACAACTTTAATCCTTATCCCTGTGGAACTTACTATCTAAAATAATCACACATTGTAGTGCTTTTCATGAGGTAAACAAATGGAAGGAGAAGACAATGAGATGAGGCTGCACGGGTCCTACAGACGAGGCTGGCAGAGAAGCCCTCTATGAGAAAGTGACACTTAGGCCGGGACCCGAAGGATGCGCAGAATTTAGCCATGCTGAAAGTGGAGAAAAGCGGTCCAGACTAAGGGAACTGCAAGTACAAACACTTTGAAGTAGGAAGTGGCATGGTGTGTTCAAGGACCGAATGAGTATTTGATACCAGCTCTGCCTTTAGTAGCTGTGCACAGCTAAACAAACTACTCTATTTCTCAGATGTGATCTCTTCATATTTGTAATTGCGCTAACGGTGCGTATCTCTAAGTGTTGTTGGGAGATTAGTGCGTGCTGCATGAGATAGCAAACTGCAGTGGTGGCGAAGCTATGGCACGTATGCCACAGCGGGCAGTTTGTATCATGGGAAGCTGTGAAAGGTTCGCCATCCCAGCATGGAGAGCACTTCAGTCACTTTATGTACATGCGACTGTAGCTGGGTCCCTATCACCCAGTGTGCATGGTCTTCTGAGTCTCTTGATCATTTGCACGGACTTGGGAGTCAAATGTCACTAGAGCTAGGGAACAGTTTCTGTCCCTGATATGTCCGTATTTAATAAGAGTGGAGAAAAGACAGATTCTATTTGCTCACGTTAGTCAAGAGGACAGGGAAAGGGAGAGGGAGAGAAAGGTAGATACGAGGGTGGGGAGGGAAGAGAAATATTGAGAAAGCAAAATGAGACGGTGTTCTTTTTAAATGAGTGTGTTTCATCATTTATGGAGCACATTTATGGAGTAAATGTTGCAGTTTTTGTTTTTCATTTGGGGACCCATGAGGTTTGGGGCTGGGTGTTTAAGAGACAGAAGAAAGGAAAATGAATTATGGTCGTTGGTACTCAGAAAGTAATAAAGAGCACCTGGCAAGTTATATATTTTCTTATTGGGTCTTCACAAGAATTCTGCAAGATGGGTCATACTAACACCATTTAAAGGGGAGACCAATGAGGCTTCCAGGAAACTGTGGACTTCACTCAGCTGCTGCTCCTGTCTTCTTGAAAAATTTGAAGTGGAACTGGGCAATTTTTTGAAAATGATGTTTATAAAGTTACTGTAAATGCTTAGTATGTTTCTTTAAATACTTTATTTTGGAAATACCACACTAGCATCTATTAATAAATAATGACCAATGAGGATAATTATTGCAAATAATAATGATATTGCTGTTATCATTACTTTATCCCAACTGAACAAGTGCCCAACTATGTCTCAGGCAATATAGTGTACACATGTGTAGTAAGTGATTCACCTTGGGGAGTGAAAGGGTTGCAGTTAGAAGTCAGGGGTTAGGCTTAGGGTTAGGGTTCAGGCTCCATTGTGGACAGGGTACACATTGGTGCAGGGGATGCTAACGGAGTCGAGGTGATGCAAGGTCTTGATGTCTTAGTAAAGAGTTTTGAGTCTTGTTCAGTGGAAGATGGGTGCATGACCAGAACAGCACTTTAGAAAGACTGCTCACACAGCCCATTACCCAGACAGGGTTTTGGACGAGACCAGCCTACACAGTGGAGCCTTGTTAATAGCACCTGTCATATATTATGCATTCTTTCCTTTTAGGGACAGTGAAAGGTGCCATGGACTTGATCTTGATCAATTCCCTACCTCTTGTATCTGATGCTGAAACGTCTCTCACCTGCATTGCCTCTGGGTGGCAACCTCATGAGCCCATCACCATAGGAAGGGACTTCGAAGCCTTAATGAACCAGCACCAAGATCCGCTGGAAGTTACCCAAGATGTGACCAGGGAATGCGCTAAGAAGGTCATTTGGAAGAGAGAAAAGGCGAGTAAGATCAATGGTGCTTATTTCTGTGAAGGGCGAGTTCGAGGACAGACAACAAGGGTACGGACCATGAAGATGCGTCAACAAGGTAATATGCCCCTAAGTCACAGACAGGCAGGGTCCCCTAGGCGCGTACACCCACACACACACACACACACACACACTCTCTCTCTCACATGCACACACTGTTTTGGTAGCTGTTCCCTCCACATCTACATGAACTGCCTGAGTGGAGAGACCAAAGACCATGCCTGTCTCTTCCTAGGCATTTCTGTCTCTGGCACAGACATTAGAAATAAAAGAGACCACTCCTTCCAATTGCTTCCCTGGACATTGCCCTACTTCACGATGTGAAAGAGCGTACATGATGTGTTCTATGAACAGCTTCATGAAACTTAATGAAGATATGACTCTGCTTACATGTATGTAATATGGAAGTCACAGCAATTCCAATAACTTCCTGTTGTCAAATTATTGGCTATTTTGAGATTTCTCATTTGATACTTTTTGTTTGTGCCTAACTGCTCTTAATGAAACTTAACATTGTCAAGAAACAATTGCAATAGAATAAAAATTTCCAAAGGGAAGTTTCTGTCAGAAACTCACTTGCATTGGTTACTTGGTGTATCAGTTATCTATTGCCACAGTAATGCCTGTAACATAACCACAATGCATAATACGCATTTACAGCTTGTATTCTAAGCCATGTGGGCTGACTGGATGGTGTGGTGAAGTTGGCTGGGCCTCCTTACATGTGCGCTGCTGGTTAGATGCATGCTGATCAGTCTCACTGTGTCTTGGGAAACTTGGCTCAGTTCCATGCACCTGTTATTCTGTAGCAGGCCAAGCTAGGTATGTTCTCCTGGGGATGGCACAGAAGGCAAAAGAGCAAATGAAAACCTGAGGCTTTTAAAGATCTAGGCTCATGGCTCAGAATTGCACACTGTCATTTATGCCTCATTTTCTTGCCCAATTCAAGTCAACTAGCTGAGCTGGAGTTATCGGCTACTATAAACAAATGACAAAGAGCAGGGACCTTTGGAAAGGTAAGGAATTGGGGCACTCTTGGACGGCTGCCCTTGGAGGAGGAGACCAGGATTTAATTTGAGCAGTTAAGGACCTAGGTTCCTCTCAGAAAACACCAGAATTTTGAAGGAGGACTTTGACAGCCTCCTCTAAAAGGATGCTCCTTGCTTCCATGCCACAAGGCAGCAATGTGATGCAGACTTTAGCCCAAATCAGAATTGGATCCGAAGCTACATCTTTAAGCCAATCACCCATCTGATGGTGACCGAAGATGGTGTTGCACATACTACTTAATAATTGTGTTGTAAGGCTCCCAGGCCTGGGCAGGAAGTAGACTTCCAGTAGTTTTGGTGGAAAGAAGGTACAGAATTCCAGTTCTCCTGGAATGATCTGGCCCTTTGCACCCTATCACTAATGCCTCATTTTATTGCCTAAAGCACATCAGAGAGCGGAACCTAGAGTTAGAATGAGAGGGTATTACAGACTTGAGTGGCAAAGAAGCAGGGATACAGGGAGGGACAAAGAATAAGGACCCTCTCTCCCTGCTACCATTTTGTTCCCACTGGAATACTCTGGCCTGTTATGATTAGCCACCTTCTTTGGGTTGCTCATACCTAAAATAAAATCTGTTTTGTTTTTAGTATTAAGATTATACTCAGGGCCTTTGCACTGAGCTACATCCCGAGCCCTTTTTTATTTCTTATTTAGACATAGTCTCCATAAGTCATTAAGTTGCTCAGAGTAGGCTCAAGTTTGGGATTCTCCTGCTTCAGCTTCCCAGCATTCTGGGATTAACATGCATGTGTCATTGTGTCAGGCAGTTAAAGGAGTCTTTTCTCAGATTAATATTGTCTAATCACAAGGTGTCAGTTCTTTAGAGGTTAGATTTTTAATTACAAAACTGATCCAGATAAGTAATGTACCTATGTACATTTCTGATTTGGGGAGTTTCTGTATAAAAAAATCTGCAGGGTTTTTTTTTTCTACTTATAATCACCTGTGGGTCTTAACATGCAGACTCTGACTCAGTAGGTTGCTTGGGACAGTCCTGAGAGTGTGTATTTCTGTGAAGGTCCCAGTGACAAGACCCTGCTGCACCATCACCCTGCTGCACTGATACTCTGAGGAGCAAGTCTGAGGTTCACCTGAAAACATTTCTTCGAATTTGCTAATGGTAGTCAGTAAAAAGATTTGAAGGCAGAAAGCCCGTTTTTAGGCCAAAAGTGATAAAGTAGCTGTTCGTTATAAATGAAGGAAGGGATTTTCTTAGCAAAACTATGATGTTGGCCTTTAAATGACATGTGGGCAAGTGGGAAAAGCACACACCAGAAATTCCCAGGGATTCAGCGCTGCAGTGCGGGAAGAGACAGGAACAAAGGGATGTGAGGTGTGCCAAAGCCATCACGGCTGAAAGTCAGCGCTGCTATTTTTCACCTGTGTCGTGTGGGGTTGACTTGTGTAAGGAATAATGTTCCGCTGATTGTCACAATTGGAATGAAGACAGACTGGGATTGACACCCCAGCGGTTTCATGGGAACGAAGTGTGAAGCGCCATCAGGCCCGCTTGTAGCTGCCTTGAGATTGTCCTTGGCGATGTGTACAAATTACAAATTGTGGAGCACACTGAACCAGGACATCGGGAATTAAAAAACAACCACGATGTTCTCTCCAGACTGAGAGCTAAGTCACCACAGGTGAAGGAGATCTTAACTTCAGTCAGTCGAGGCAAGGGAGGAGAGTGAGTAGTAGTGGAGACAGGGTGGCATTTAGATTCATACTCATCTGAGTTTGAATTCTTTCTCTACCACTCACCAGCTGCGTGGCCTTCAGCAAGTTATTTAACTTTGATTTGTCTCATTTATCACCATTTATGACATGAAAGTAATACCTACAAAATTCAGTTAAGTTTTAAATAAGTAAGGTATATGTATGAAGCCAGTTCCCCTGCATTGCAACAGATGTGCTCTTAAAAGCTTGTATAAACTGAGGTACTGCACAGTAAGATACACATTAATAATAGTAGTTTGTAAATGGAATTTGATGATCTTCCGTTAGGGTCTGCATTTGCAGCCACTGCACTGTACTTTCTACATCATTCTCATTGTTAACAATTCGCTCTGATTTTGAGTGCTTATTTTGCTACAGTGATTCTATCTGAAAGTTAGAAAGTAACCCAGGGCCCATAGCAGAGATGGGAGTAGAAGCCAGCCAGATGTGGATTTAAGCCTGGCTTTAAACTGAGTGGTATGGCTCAGGGAAAGTTACTTAAGTAATTGAAATTATTATTTTTCCTCACTCAAAAAGAATGGGAATAAAGATTTCATCACATGCATTCAAAAATCAAATGAAACACTTAAAGATTACTAACATTATCTTGTCCACAACTATGTTATGTTCAACAACTATCATTATTATAGTTCTTGAAGTAATAATTTAGAGAGCCTACTAATTTCCATGTCCAGTTGTTGAATTTAAAAAGATCATGCATTAACATAATTGTGGAGGTTTGTACAAAATAGAAAAATAGATAGCATGTTTCTTCCTGTATTTGAACAACAGCAGCATCTCAGACTGGCAAACTTGTTCCCTTTCCTTGACCATCCAGTGGGGGAAATATGGTGCAGAGAAAGTGATACCCGTTATGGTGACTCGGAAGAACATCCTAAACTGTGTCTTCATGCCGTTACTAATTCCTTAGTAAAACATCGTGGGAACGTAGACACGCCTGCCCAGGGACATAGCCGGATAGGATAAACATCAGTATATTCCTCTTGCTGCTGACCAGTACATCTGGGGAGGAAATGGAAAATCCATTTGAGATGTGCCAAAACACAGCTTAAATTGGCTCCCATCCCCTAAATAGCCAAACTCTTTTTATCAATGGCATTATCCAAAACAGTCAGTGGCAGCTTGTTCAGACCTCACTGGTGATTTCATCTGGGGCTGGGCAACTATAGAATAAGTAAAGCTGGAAACATTTATAGATCCAAAAGTCTATTTCAGAATGGCCCACCCGAAGAAACATAGGTTTTCTTCCTGTCCATGTTTGAGAAATGGGTTTACATCCAGAACATCCAACTACTCAAAGGATGCTGGTGAAGCTGATAAAGAGGAGCCACCTGTATCTAAATGACACAGATGAACAGGAAGAAAGCATAAAGAAAATAAGAAATTTTGAAATCAGATTAATTCTCTCCCTCCCAATTGTTCCTAAGCCTCTATTTGTGCCGTGTACTGGGGATGTGATAATGCTAACAGTTCCTGGGTGTTTGTGATATTCCTGACAGTCCACTTGCAGCTTTACATACATTAAATTTAGCTACCAGATGTATATCAGATGCAGACTACTGAGGCCATATTAATAGAGGAGGCCATCACTATTGCAATCTAGGTGCATGCACTAGCTAGTAAGTCCTGGATTTGGGAACGTGGCCTTGGACCTGATCCCAAAGTCCTGGCTCTGACCACTGCCCCATCCTGCCTCTTCAAGGCAGGTTCTTCCCTCCTGGATTGTTTAGTCTGGCGGGGGACATGTGCAATGAGCAAGGCTGGGCCAGGGAGGGCAGGTATCAGGAGAGTGGCTGGGAGAGGAGGGACTGGGGAAGGCTCCCAAGGCAGCTACATGGAGACTGAAGAATGGCAGGTGTGGGGGAGGCAGAGGAGAAAGGAGCAGAAGAGAAGGAAGGAAGCTTGTGACTCCGCAAGAGTGCTGAGCCAAGGGTGCCGGTCTGGAGAAAGGTAACGCCAAAGAGCTGACCGTATAGAATGAGGAGGGTGGATTTAAGCTTGTGTCTCAACTTCCTTGCTAAGTTGCTGTTAGGAGGCCCGAGGTAAGGGACTCAGCCAGCCCTAACTCCATCTCCCATGCGCATGTCTGCTTCACTGGGCTGGGGTGAAAGTTATTCAAAATAATAATAGCCATAAAGCTGCATTGTTGGCCGGGGATATAGCTCAGCTGCACCGGCGCGGCGCCTGCCCGGCAAGTGCAACATGCTGAGTTCCATGCCTGGTAGATTCCTGTTTATTTATTTTTTTAATTAAAAAACAAAACAGAACAAAAAACTACATCATTACCCTCAGTACTTACCTAACATTAAAGGAGACAAATGAAATTCGGTTCATTATTTTTTGTTCATGATGAACATCTTCGTTTATAACTTTTGCAGCCATTTACTTTTTCCTCTAGTCTTCAAGGAATAAGTGGATGTGCTCCGAGCTCTTAGCCCATGCAAATGTCCTTAAGCAAATCATCTTCCAACCTAGGCCTCAGTGATCTCATTTAGAAGATGTGGTGGCTTTAGAGGCTTTTGCGTGCTAACATTACATAATCTAATTTAATAACCTTTTTGGGTGCTAACATTACACAAGCCACGGCCAGTTTGTCTGACTCAGATCCTGGCTTTCCCAGGTAATTGCTGTGTGATCTTGAACAGGTTACCTAAACTCTCTGTGCCTTTTAGTGCAGATGATGGCACCTACCTCATAGGGGTATTATGAGATTAAATTTGTATGGTGTTTAGGACAGAGCTTGGTCTACAGTAAACACTTAAAATATGATTACTGCTTTTATGATACAATCCAGTCACAGACAGAGATGTATGTGTAACGAGTACAGGCCCAGCCCTGTGTCACTAGACACCCAGAACAGAACTTGAAGGTTAGATCTCCTGTTACTACTCAGCAGAGGCCATCAGCCTAAAGATGTGAATGCAGGAGGTGGTAGGAGGTGACAGCAGTGGAACTCTGGTGTGTCCCTCAGAAAGCAGGGAGCTTGAAAGGCACAGTGTCTGGAATTATAAAGAGCCACGGGAGAGGAGGGGTGGAATACACTCTCTTGAGCTACTGGGGAATCTCAGTTCCTCTCAGAAAACAATACTGAGTGGGAAGTCTCACGATCAACTAAACAATCATTACACAAAAGGGCAGAAAATATAAACAAACCATGCAGAAAAGAACAGTGGCATGAAATGGCCAGAAAACATTCTCCCGGGAGCCCAGTGGCCTATTGCAGAGAGTAAGAATTTCATACAGTAGGATGGCAAAATGCAGCACCTCGTCAGTGTGAGAGGAGCTCCATAAAGCTACCCCCATGTTCCATCGTCCCTGGGTACCTTACCTACACTGGTGATCTGTTTTGGTGTCACCAAGCACAACCATATTACAAATGTCAGTGCCACAGTGTGGCCACTTATTTACATTTGGAAAGGACACTATAGGCATCATGGGCTTAGCTTCTGGGATTTAACGGCCTACCAGTACTTTATGGTAGAGATTATTACTTCTGAATTTCAGATGAGGAAGCTGAGATGTTTAAACAAAAGTCTAGAAGGTAGATTTGAGCCCAGGACTGTCTGATTCCAGGGCTTGGATGCTGTCTGATCTATCCCATGCTCTCTCTATGTTTACCCAAGTCATCATCTGCACCAAAGGTGGTTGCGTATTTGGCCATACAGGGGAGCTCTGACAGTGTCATGCCCGAGTTAGCAAGCACAGCTCACAGCAAAGGAAAAGAAGCAGGCACACCTAAAGGTCAAGGCCTTCTGGGTGTGGTTTAGAGGCATCTCTTGCTCTCACAGGCAGCTATTGAAGCCAGAGACACACGCAGCACTTGATCAGCCACTGTCAAGCTCCAATTCAAAAGCCAGAGATGAACTGAGAACGAGAGCACAGGAAGCCCAGAGGCATCACAAGGTCCTTGGTAGCAGGCTTTCTGATACCCATGGCTTAGTTCTTGTTGTAGGGATTTATTTATACCTGGTGGTACAGGGTGTTTTGCTATTGATGTTTAATTTAGGTATGTTTTCATCACATAATTTGTAGTTTACGGAGATGTGCTATGTGGCTTAAAAAGTGGCAATATGCTTGTAAATAATCTGTATTTAGATAACTGGCATAGATTTTGTAAATATTCAACAGACGATTAATGGTGTTATTCAAATTTTTTATATTTTGCCTTCACACTTTTCAATTTATTTGATCTGTTTCCGAAATTTTACACTAGGCTTGTAGATTTATCAATTTCTTCCTTTAACTCTTAGATTTTGTTCCAGGTGCTTTGAAGCTCTGCCACTGGCACATGTACAAGTTCAGGAATATTATATCTTCCTAAAAGAGAAGTGTATAAAATCTTCAGACAAGAGTTTATTAGATGGTAGATGGTTCCTTTTATTGTCATATAAAAACCATCACTATCCCTAAAAATCTTGACGTTAGAAATTTTTTCTGATATAAATGTTATAAAACAAGTTTTAGTTAGTATTAATTTAATACATATTTTCTATGCCTGCATTCTCAACCTGATTTTTCATTATGTTTAATGTGTAGTTCATAAGAAGAGCACAGGGATGTACGTATTTTAATTTATTCTGAGATACTCTGTTTTAACATATATCTGGTTATATTTCTATATCACGATCATTCTGTGGCCTGATTTGTTCTTATTTTAGTGTTTTGCTATTTCCATTCTGTCTTTCTCTCCATGTTCAGGAAAGTTGTGCATCTTGTTTCTCTTCTTTTAGTGATATATTATTAGCATTAAATATTATATTTTAGATTTTGTTTATATTTTATTACTTTCAGTGGTAATGCTTGCATTTTAACATAGGCTTAACTTTTAAAAGCCCAAAAATCTCTCCTCATTCCACATAGTGTTTCTTTGCAGATTATAAAATAAAAGAATTCAAAAATGGGTGCAGCTGGGAGGATATTAGGTTTTATTCACATATTTTCTCTATGAAACCAAGACAATGCTCTATTCCAAGTCTGACACAGAGACAGAAGTTTTCAGTTCCTTGATTTATAATCTAAAAAGCCAAATAAATACAGATTAATTCCCCATCTCCTCCTAGTACAGTCCTGTCCCATAACTATACCAGGTCACACATGTGTAATCAAAGGGTAAAAGGTGAGATCTTAGGTTCCTTCATCGTCTTTATTCTTCAGTATTCCAATATTTGCACCACGAAGAAGCCCAGCATTGTGCTCAAACCATTTGGGAAATGTTTGGAGCATTCTAAAGCAAGTAGAATGATTCTGAGCAGCAGTGAGAACCTCCACATGAAGGGAGCAAGAGAAGAGCTATTTGGCAAACGCTCTTCTCTTTTTCACTTTGAAGGATCTCATGTTGTATTCGTGCTCTTTTCTACTTTGAGGAAACTTGGCAGAGATTGGAGAGGGATGGTAGATTCTTAGTCAGTATAGTTTTTGGTTAATGTCAGGATTTATTTTGATAACAGACATTCAATGGCACAGTGCTCTCACCTCCCCAGTCATTTGCAGGGAACTATTGCAGATTATATTGGGTGCATACGTTTATATTTTTAAAGAGAAAATGACTGTTCCTCTCATCAGATTCTTAAAAGAATGCATAAGCTTAAGAAAGAATGAAATCCATTAGCCACTATTACCAGTGATATCATAAAAAACAACTGACTCGTGGTCTCGTCTTTTGAAGCTCAGTGTTCAGTTGCTCTTGAGAAAAATGTGTGACATCATTTTCGGTATTTGTTTTCTCTTTTTTGAAAGCTTCCTTCCTCCCAGCTACTCTAACTATGACTGTGAACAAGGGAGATAATGTAAGTATATCTTTCAGAAAGGTGGTAATTAAAGAAGAGGACGCAGTGATTTACAAAAATGGTGAGTATACGTTCCATTTCTTTTTAGTACCATGGTGTGAGATGTCAGATAACACTTACCTATTAGCTCATTAACTTATCGCAGTTTCAGGGACAGATGCTTGAAGTACAGCTGCTATGGTGCAAGCTTATTAAGTTCTATCTAGGATAGGAGCCCTCTGAGGCAATGTTTGATTCCTTAATCAAGTAAATCAGAGTGGGAATTTATTTTTATTTTTTGTCTTTTTGAGGTAGAGTCTCGCTATGCAGTTCAGGTTGGCCTTAAGCTCACTTTGTAGCCCAGGCTGGTCTCAAACTTGCAATGATCCTCCTTCCTCAGCCTCCCGAGGGATGGGATTACAGGCGTGTGCCACCACGCCTGGCCTCAGAGTAGTAATTTAAATACACTCTGTACATTTGTGAATGTACATGGCATCATAATGTAAAGAGGGTCCCAAATTCTGTGTCTCTGCAGATTATTATATAAAATAAAGGACCTGAGAAACTGATGCATGTGGGAGAATATTAGATTTTTATTCATATACCTCCTCCTGTTAACCAGGGGGCTCAGGCAATGTTGTATTCTGACGCAGAGACAAAAGTTTTCAGTAAAATGTGAGGTGACTGATTTGTGAGGACAGACAAGGACACGAGAGTGCTTCATGTGCAACCTGTCGTCTTCCACTCTTCCCTCTCCCCAGGCTCCTTCATCCATTCGGTGCCCCGGCACGAGGTACCTGATATTCTGGAGGTGCACCTACCGCATGCTCAGCCCCACGACGCTGGCGTGTACTCGGCCAGGTACATAGGAGGAAACCTCTTCACCTCGGCCTTCACCAGGCTGATCGTCCGGAGTAAGTGGCGGAGAGGCTGCAATCTGGGGTGGTGTGGGTTGTTAGCATTTTTAGCTGCAAGGAATAACTGACTGGCTACTTGAGCATGACTTAGGGGCTGATTAGAGGGATACTAAGGACTCTTAACCAACTGGAAAAGCAAAGAAGCAGGTTCTGGCAAAGATGGGCTCAGGGGCAGTTCTGGGGCTCAGAGGGGCTGCAGGGTGGACCTCTTCTTAAGATGCTGCCATTACCACAACTCAGATACCATGATGTTCACTTCTGGGTGTTGAATTCATAGCAGAAGAATCAAATTAGCCTAACGTATCAGATCTCTGCCAGCCCAGAGCAATGCGCTATAGGCAGTTAGAGTCATGCACTGCAGTTAGGGACAGGCTATGGCGGGATCATTCTCATACAAAAGGGGAGTCACAGCGGAAGGTGACTGCTGTAAAGGGATGAATTGGGCCTCCTGGATCAGGCTGACCTCTAATTAAACATTTCCTGTAAATTCAATACTTTCCAAATCATTTAACTGTCAAGTGTGATTTTTATTTTTAGATTTGAAAAATGTAAGAGCTAGAACGAGTGAAAACCCCCCTCTTATAATTTTGTAGGGAGAGTAATGATTACCAGTAATTTTTACAGGAAATTAACTTGTAGGACATAAAAGATGTGCCCTGAATTTTGTCCACCTATGTTATGAAATTTGTGATATTAAATATTTAGGCCTTCATCTCCGCACATCTGAGCTGCTCTGTCACTCTGCTATACCAGTGATGGCGAACCTTTTAGAGCTTTCAGTGATAGCAAACAGCCGGCTGAAGCATGGGTGCTGTAGGTTTGCCACCCTATATTGCCCTATAATGTTGCAGAAGCATCGTGGTTGACATCTGTCCTTTATGAAGATACTGTATTTTGCTTTGCATTTCACTCATTCATTCCTTCATTCGGTGAAATGTATTGATCCTGACTCTGCCGCACACTGTGTTGGTACTGAGAATTGAGTCTGGCAAAAAAGAGGAAAAAAACTTGAGTCATAGGAAAACAGGTGCTCCTGGAGACCATAGTGTTAAGTGAAATAAATCAAATGCACGGGCTTAAATATCTCTTATATGGGAAACCCCAAATACAAATGAAGAGCAAAATAAAAGAGAGATTAGAAGAAAAAGAGGGATAGATCTTTTGCAAAAGGTAAGAGGACCAAGAGACGGAGAGAAGGATGAGGGGAGGGGATGGATGAAAAAAGAACTAACCTCTGTTGTGTCCATGCAATAACTCCTATGAAGAATGTGCTCATTATGTGCTGCAGGCACGGGCCAGTAAAAAATAAACACCGCAGAGGAGTGATAGACTTATATCCCTCACCCTAAGCTAATAAGATGACTCGGAGGAGGGTACGATGAACCAGTATCCCTTGGGTTGTTCCCAGTCAGGGCAGGTGCATGTGTAATTAGATGGATATTGCAGTATGAAAAGTATGGTTCATTTAGCTTATGCCGCGTGTTAGGACACCTCTATGGGTACAACATATAGCAAGGTGTTTTGTAGACAGGACTGTTTGGATTTGAATCGGGAGGAATCTGTTGATGTGCCCAGCACCTGTTTCCTCCCAGAAGACTGCTATCTGTGTCTTTTCTCCTCCAAATGTCAGGCAGTGTTTGTGTAAGACCATTCTTTTAAAAACTATAACACAGTACTGCAGTAAAACTGCAATATTCAGCTTTCAAGAGCTGGATTCTCACTAGCCCTACATGAAGTATCTGTTGACTTGAGTTCCTCAATTCTGCTTTTATTTCACTACACAGGGGAGTCTGGATGGCAAGGAAGCAACGTGGTAGCATTTAGGTAATTTCCAATCTGATGCAAGTGTGCCAATGGCCTCCGACTCCGGGGTAGATTGTCCAGCAACATCAGAGACATCCGTTGACACACGGTTCTTTAAGAATAGAAAAGATGGTGCGGCTGTTCTACTCGCCACTCTCACTGAACACAACACTTCCAACACTAGATGCGTAGGACTTTTCTCTCTACACCAAACAATTCTCCAGCATACATGGCTGTATCCTCCAATTTAAAATACTTCTGATGCTGTTTCCTTAGAAACAAAACAAATCAAGGCTTCCTAAGACCCTCTTCTTTGATTAATTTGGTAGGACAGCTCACAGAACTCAGGGAAGTGCTTAGTTACCAGTCTATCTCAGAGGATATTACAAAGGGTACAGATGAACAGCCATAGAGAAGAGATGCCCAAGGGAAGGTAAGTGTAGAGCTTTCATGCCCTGTCCAGGCACCCCACCCTCTGCCTGAAAGCTCTCTGAATCCTGTCCTTTTGGGGTTTTATGGTCGCTCCATGATGTAGGTGTGATCAGCTCACCTTGCAGCCTTAAGCTCCTCCCAGAGACTGGAGGATAGGGCTGATGTTCCAACTTTCCAGTGATGCCTTGACCTTTCCTGGTGACCAGATGTTATTCTCAAGCTATTTCAGGGCTTCACTGTCTGACATGTGGAGGAGAAAAGTCACAGATAGCAGTCTTCTGGGAGGAAACAGGTGCTGGGCACATCAACAGATTCCTCCTGATTCAAATCCAAACAGTCCTGTCTACAAAACACCTTGCTATATGTTGTACCCATAGAGGTGTCTTAACATGGGGCATAAGCTAAATGAACCATACTTTTCATATTGCAATATCTATTTAATTACATATACACCTGCTCTAACTGGGAATAACCCAAGAGATATTGGTTTATTGTATCCTTCCTCCAAGTCATCTTATTAACATGAAAAGATAACTGTTCACTTTGAAGATTCCAAGGGTTTTCTGAACTGTGTGACAGGAGCCAGGGGCAGAGACGAAGTATGTATTGCTTATTATGTCATAATATCACAGTAGATAAGAGTGAAAGTTTTTAAAATGTCAAAACAAGCATGATTTAGTAGAGATTAGAATTTGAAACTCACCTGAACTTTTAGGTCAAAGCAAAAGACTTCCAGTATATTTTAAATTTTAAGTTGTCTTTTTTGGTTGCTTGGAGTACATGGTCTTTTCCCTTCATTGTTAAGAGTATTTTTATGAAACCATGTAAATCATTCTAAAGTTTGAGTTGGGTCATTATCATCTTATTTAAGAATTTTTTGCCTTGTATAAAAATAATTTAAGAATTTTTTGCCTTGTATAAAAATACCACATCTTTTTTATACAATGGAGTACTACACAGCTATAAAGACAACTATAGGGAAATGGATGCAACTTGAATCCATAATTGTAAGTGAAATAAACCAGTCTCACATGTGTAAACATCGTATTGTCTCCCTAATATAAGAAGCTGAAAGAGTAAATAAGATCCAAAATGTACAATAGCTATTATAAAATGAGAAGAAAATGCTCAAAAGGAAAGAGTAACTGGAATAAGGGAAAGGAGAAATGAAGGAAGAGAAAAGGAAAAAAATATAAATATACACAGACACACACACTCATACACACAAGACAGTTAAAATAGTTATTCTACTAATTGCTATTAGCCCATTGAAAGGAAAATTTATGCCTATATTACTTGATCAATTTTTCATGCCTATATCTTGTAATATGAGCAACTACTTTGAAGATAGCAACACGTAATGTACTAACCACTGTTACTCTTGTTTTTAAATTTAAAGTTACTCTTGTTTTTAAAACAATCTTGTTTTTAAATTTGTTTTTAATTTTGTTTTTAAAACAATCTTGTTTTTAAATTTCATACTATTGTTTTATTGTTTTTCTTTTCCTTAAAATAAAAAAGAAATAAGTAAACTATCACAAGAAAATAAAGACTACTTTCCCCAATATGATTTCTTTGATGTTTAATAAGAAATGAGATGAACTGAAGGCGTTTGGTCATTTCTCATAGCTGTAGATTATTTATCCAGAATAACTGAAGCTAGAAATACATACAGCTTAAAGAGTTTGTATTAAAAATGCCACTGGTTATATTTGTAGGATTTTTTGAAAAGTATAAATTTGTTCCCTGACAAAAGATTTCTCACAATATAAGTTTTTATGTGCCACAAATGAACAGTTTCTTAAAGTACAGAATTATAAGACTTTTGATGAAAATAATAGATGCCCAAACTTGTAAATTATCAACAAATTCCTCCTGACTTCTCCATTCTCAGGAAAGTACCCTTGTGATCCCTTTCCAGGATAAACTGGAATAGGCCTTCAGGTAGACGTGGGGCTCTCATGTAACCAGGCCCGTTTCATCTGCATTGCTTACCATCATTGTTACGTGGGTAAATATCAGAGTCTGGCTCTCAAGTTATCACGGATTGTGCTGTGCTGAGACTTCCCTCCTTTATAGAGTGAGGAATAGAAATATTAGTTCTTAAACATTTTGTTGCTTTTTCTGTTAAGTAAAAGTCTGTAAGAAATGATCTGTGTTGACAGTTTTCCAGATTATTTTAAATAAAATATTGATAACCCAGAGCTCTTGTCAAAGAGATTATGAGGTTATGTCAGCTATAGGTACAGGTCCAAGCTTATCACTGTGAGAAATATTCAGGGGTGCAGACAGCTGTACCCTTCAGATGAGAAACGAAACTCTATTTCTGACCACAAAAGGCCATCTAGCCACCCTGGGTTTTCCTTATATTAGCAGGTACCATCAGACCTAATTAACAAAATGTTGGCAAGAAATAACCAGGAAAGATGAATATAGACAGATTTTAGCATCCTTGTGCTGTTGATTTTAAGTATCTTATTTCAGTTGTTTTTTATATGTTTTGTAACTAAAAGAAAAATAGGTGGGTGCTATTAGCTGTTCCTTCCCTGTTTAGCCTTACTTTTCTTTACATACTCTCTCTAGGGCAGAGGCTCGCAGAGTGCAGCATGCGTAGAATCACTGGGAGGGACTGTTGAGCATAAACTGCGGGGTCACCCCCAGGGTTTCTCTTTCAGTTGGTTGTGGGTTGGGGGGTCTAACATTTGCATTTCCATCAAATCTCTAGGTGACTGAGATGCTCTTGGTCAGGGATACTTGCAAAA